TTTTCGTGCGGTGTCGTCCAAATTAATCGATTTCGCGTTTCTACGAAGTTGGTCGGTAAGGGGTTTCATAAGTAATGCGCATTTATATACAGGGCTATTTATTTTAGGGATTTATTTGCCGCTACAATATCCTCTATTTTCTGATAAACTTTTCTTCTTACAACTTTAGGTAGAAGCTTGTGCCGATGATGTCGTTCAGAATAACTATGAAAGATCCACGACCAAAGAAACCAGCTCGGAGAAGAAAACTCCATCAAAATCAACCACCTAAGCTACAACCTCTGTCTTTCAATCTAATTTTCTTTTCCTCTTTTTCCCTGTTTAACAGTTCTAGTTCTGAATCAAAAGCTATTAAAGTTGAGAGATTTGATACTATTTAGAAGAAAAGGGAAATCCAGGAGAGTGGGGATTAAAAGAATGATCACATTATAAAACAAAGTGTAAAAGAGGATGGAAAGACGTAGGTTTCAGTATGTAGCTGTGAAAAAGACTGTGGAACTACTAGTAAAGCATGACTATGTTCTAGCCAAATCATCTAGTAAACAGGTCACTGAGAATCAAACAGTTTTCCTGTCCTCTTCAAGGTTACGTATAACCAATGAACATTAATCAATTGCGTGCTATAGGCAGTACCATGAGGCAGTGGTTTTTCCCCTTGCACCTTTGTAACTTGTTCATACCAGTATATGCTGCCTCCTATTTAGAGTATACAGCATAGTCAATTGCCTTAGAAGTCGACTGACAAGTTTACGACAACAGGAAAAAGTAGATCAGGTATTGACCGCGGTGTGTGACTTCGACATAAAATAAGAGACCACAGTTGCTGTCCAACTGGAGTAGACCACACTAGTCAATACAGACCGCCTACTTTAGTGATCTACACAGGGCGAAGTGCGCTCACTTAAACCGGTCACAACAAATAATCCAATAACTGACGAAAAGCAATCTGAATGATTTTGAATGGTCAGTTGGCTATTTTATAGTTAAAGGCATGTTTCACGCTATCCAAGATTCTGGTAAAAACATAGAAAGGTGAATGATAGGAGTGAAACTAATTAATTAACGTATGATAAAAAAGATACTCCTCGACTCTGTCGTAACACTTCTGGCCACATGAACGCAAGTTCATATTGACGTATGGATAAATTTCAGGTATCACTCCGAAAAAGATTCAGCGTAAGGGATAATCAGTTACTAATTATGAGCAAACAATCAGAAATAAAAAGTCCTGAAAATTTATTCTGTGCCCACTATCTTCGTACAATCCATTGTCTGTGCATATCGTTTACAAAAACAAGTCATCTACTCATCCTGACCACTACATTCAATATATACCTTACCTCAACATAATAACTTCTTGCCTAGCCCTGACCGTTGAATCCAGGAGACAACACCAGCCTCCACTGTATGAATAATATGTTTCAGACATACGTGGCTTATATACAAGCAGACCAAACTTCATCACACCATATGAAGAAAAATAATAATCATATAAGATCAAGCCGAAAGTGACTGTGACTGTCTGTAACTTATAAATTGAGAATAAATTAAGAACAGCAAATCATATGAAATTGATTAATAATTCAAATGAAAACTTATGAATAAACGAATACAAATATATATGACCCAGTTACCCAATAATTGTAATTATGTCGAATAACTTGATAATTTCGATGTTTGATTATATTTCCTTGAAAAAGCTTGAACCAGGTTGCCAGGAGGAACGTTGGTTTTACTTCAACAATTCGTTCACTCGGATTTTACAAATACATTCTTTCTCTTTAATGTCTTTCTGAATAGTGTTCTAAAATCTTGGTGACCACTTGGGTTCAGCTTATTAGATGACAGTTCCGTAATTCTTATTTCATGCCTGTTTTACAAAAGGGTCTTGCTATGGCGTTCCCTCGGTATTATGGCAATTTACCTCGGGTTACACATAGAATAAGACTGGTTTTTAAAAAATTCACGACTAAATTTGACAGTTCTATTAGTAGCCTACGAGGGACTTCGTTGAGTTCTATGAATTAATCGGAATCAAGTATATTTCACAATCAAAGGACATCGTGTCTTTTGATGGTCACAAAGTTCAGGGATTTATATAAAGATAAAGATAGAATGTCCCACCACATATATATTGCTAAGGTATTCAGAGATTACCTAAGGTTTGTTGTATTTGTTGGATGAAATTCTGAGTTTCCTCTTCATTCCTTTATTTGTGAGCGAATATATGCATTTTGGATATTTTAAAGACTCCTTAACAAATTCTTCTTCGTACGATCTTGTAGACTGGCTTAGAGCTGGGACATAGACATTCCAGATTTTCAAAATTTTCTCGTCAGCACCAAATTACCCCCATTGATTTTTAAAAAATATAATTGTGTGAACATCTTTGCTGAGTCATGGTAGGGAGTTTATTAGATACGTTGATGTGGTCAAGGGGACGTGAGGTGCCATAGCTATCGTGTAACGACTCTTAAAGAACTCTCAAACTGTCTTTGTACAAGGATGTGATTTTATTTTTCCATCTATTGAGGATGCTGAGTGTATTGATTTTTGTGCGCTTACTTCCCAAAAGGTTTGGACTAGCTTGAGATGAAACATCGTTATTGACAGCTATATGAGAATAAAAAATTGAAACCTTATTATCAGTCTTACCTAGGATTGGTATAAAATTGAAGTTTGTAATGTTATTGTTATGCCCTTGGATGGCTTTTACCCCGTGATACTTGTTATGACTTGACCTTGACCTTGACACGCTAGGCTGAGTGGCTTAACCTTGAGTTTAATACGCGTGAGTTCGATTGGGGTAGAGCGAACTATTCTAAATCCTGATTGGTTGACAAGCACGCGAGTGAAAGAAGACAAGACAGTTGGAACACTAAACTCTAGATTCTCTGAATTCGGATTACTACAAAAATGTACATGAATAAATAAGTGAATATCTTGACCACGACGTACGATAATTTGGAAAAATACAGTTATGCCCGAAACAGGGAATTAGGGTAGAAAATACAGTGCAAAATATAATGTTTAAATTACAATATTTTTGGAACAAAAAAGGGTATGCTAATGAATGATACATAGAACGAAAGCTCGTGTTATGTAGAATAAGATAGGGACAAAAATAAATATAAGTGTTTTACAGGGTTTGAATGAAATGCAATAACGTCCCAAGAAAATAGCTTTCGTAATTGTCTGGGCTTCTTAATTCCCCGTTCATAACAGTTATACTTGTAGAATTATGGTCTACTATGATATTAGTACTGCTCTAATAATAGACCTAATCCTGAAATTGTAGATTTGTCATGATATAACTGCCTAATCTATAAGATCTTACGTGGAAATCACACCATCGGCTACATCAACTCACTGTATCGTATCAATTACCAGTACATTATGTAGAACAAGGTTAGTCCAGAGAAGGAACAATATATTTAATATGAATAGAAGATATAAGGTAACATTCAGCAGAGACCACGCCTGCATGGCCGAGCCATGCTACTCGATCAACTCCAGTCCATTCAATTCATTGTTCGCGCCTTCTCCATTGTTAGGTATTTCTCCGTGTTGAATATTGAATATCTATTTTCTGAGTAGTCTTGTGTTCAGCTTTGAAGATTGTGTGGTTATGGTCCAATGCCACTACATACTCATAATGAATTCATATGAGACCTAGAAAAAATGATTTGGAGTCCGGGCCGTACCTAGTTATTTCTTTCACATGTAGCCCTACGGCACGTGTGTTATCATCACGTCAACTAGTTTTTGTTCAAAATAATTTTCTCTTAGCTCAGTTCGAAGATTCCCCCAGTCTAATGCAGTCCTAGCAAAATCATCTGAACTTAAGCATCGGCTACTCAAAGATCAGACGTCGAGTCCATCTAGTGAGACTTGATTTACCTCGGCTTGGATTATTGTGAACCAAACCAATCAATAGCTCCCTTCTCTTACAATTTTAACGGCAGAAAACGATTTCTTACATCACACTCCCATAAGATATGCTATGGACGTGGTCCTGGATTCTTTCAGCCTTTATTATTTGAGGCTCTAGAAATCAAGTTTCCTATTATCTACACAATGGGTTGGCCAAATGTTTGTTATGGCTTGGTCAATTTCATCTGTATACTTAGCTCCGATCGCTTGTTCAACAAGTTCCAGTCATATATGTGACAGATCAAGAGACCGCTCAAATGGCTTCAACATCATCCTCCCTCGAAGTCTCACCTTCCAAAGACGATGCAAAGTTTCTTTACATCGACGGACAATCATGGTGTCAGTTCTTTTTCAACATCTCGCCTCTTCATAAAGTAAGCGAGAGACAAATCTTCCTGGACAAAGACGCCTGACCCTTTCAGTTTGTGTCCATTTCGTGGTGTTAAGTCCCTCCCATTATGGAATTAAAATACCACCTTTTGCGGTGCGGTTCGACTTTTTTCAAGCACGTTTAACTACCTTGTCTGTACATCTTCAGCCAGGTTGCCCAAGTGAAATCATGAGGCACTATTTTGTCAAGTGATCCACTTATCAACCGATTGTTATTTTAACAGCGTATGTTGTGTTCGTAACACTCACTCCCGTAGACCCTATGAAGGATGACTGACGTGTCAATATAATCACACTACGAATTTTCAACAACGGTTAATAAAATCGGCTTCGCATTTGTGATATTAGGTTGTTTCTTGCTTTTTATTTGAATTTATTTGTCATTTTCTCCGAAGCTACAGCCCACAGATACGTTGCATTTAGATTGAGATCCTGAAGCACTTCAAACGAATGGGGTATGGGATTCCAGAAGAAGACAAATACATAGATCTGTGAATAAACAGTCAAATAGAATGCACATATATTTATGAAAAAAACAGTTGACAGCAATCAGGAACAATGCGTAAGATTGAAAAAATATGGCGAGGGAAAACTAGAAGATTATAGCTAATTTTTTAGGAAACATAACACCACAAAAAATCCTAATATATTGTTCATTCAAAACTCGAGCTAGTCAGTGAGTTCAGTTCGTTCACAAGCCGCGCTTTTTAAAAGGGTAGCAGTTGAGTTAGATTTTAGTTTTCATCGTTCATTGCTCATCAAGGCTACTGTCATTTCAATTGAATTAACTTCAGTCTAAGTGATACCAGTATTGCTTTTCTGAAAGCTGTTAGCATCTGTACTTTCTATTAAATACAACAGTTCTGTCTGTTGAACTATCTAAACTTAACAGTCCACAACTTACTGTTTGCTTACCGCAAACCTTTTTGAGTTTTTAGCTTTTGCATCTGCATGTCTTTTCCAAGTTATCTACTGCTCAGTGTAGGAAGGGGTGTTTGTTAACGCATTGGTTATCGATAGCCGGTGGGTAGTGGAAAGCACTATGATGCATGGAAATCATAGTACCACGAAGTTTGAAGAAATATAACACTAGTGTGGTTGGTATATCCTTTAGTGTAGATATACCGGTGGTTTTTGCTCAGGGGAATCGTATGTGATACCCACGAGTGCTTTGCTTTTATTTCTGTTACCGGAAAACTTGTTTGTTTCGTTTTTCAAGGCTAAAGCTGGTTCTGATATTAATCACAACGCACTTCAATAACTGAATCAAAGTAGGGTCAGTGCTTCATGAAGCGCTTCACACAGACTAAATTAAAACCAAATATTACATTCTAATAAAACACAAGATGACCTTAAAATACTAGCTATATATTGAAATCAGAGCATAAAGCGCATTTTGATGAGGTTCATATGAGCAATGCTTCTCGGTTCGGTATCCAAGTACACTGGTTTTTTATACATTCTTCAAGTGCAGTTTATTTCTGTTCTCTATCTAGACGATGTCGAATAAGTTATTATTTGGTAAAGCTCTCACCTCATACGACGATGAAGATATTGATGAATTGTTGTCTAAGCTAACACCAGAGGAGCTGGAGCAGCTTAATGATGACTTTGATCCCGACAATTCACTGCTTCCTCCTTCACAGAGGTGTCGTGACCAAACTACCAAAACCCCAACTGGACCTTATGATCGTGAAAAATTACTAAGGTAACTATTGTTCATGGTTTTTAAAAAATAATGGTTGATCCCAGTTAAAGTATAGGCTTTCATGCTAATAAACATGCACTTGTTTTTCGGACTCAAATGTTTATTTTACACGAGGTTTCTTCTAAGTTCGTTTGAGCGCCGCTGAATAGCGTTTCAGCTGTAGTAAAAAACTAGTCAGGAACTAAATTTCAAAATCGACATTTATCTGATAGTGATTACCGACCCAAGCCGGTGTTTACAGTCCCGAATTTGTTGGGGAAGCATCAGTTCTTAGATATCGTTTTTAGCCCCCAGATGCCTTGGTACGGCCGAGGATGGGGAGTCCGCTCTCCCTCTCGACATGCTCACACACTGGTCCACTGCCTTCTCCCGGCGGGGTTGTTGTTTACAAACTCGAGAGGACGAAGAGCGAATGTCCGGCGCTTTAACCGGGTTGGTGGATATGGTGACCACTTAGGAGAGTTGGAAAATCTAAACTCCAAACCAATGATACACATGGGTTCAATGATCCTGACGGAACAGATGGTGTATGAACCTATTGTTGGTCACTAGCTTCAATGTGACTGCATCTTCTGAAGTTGCTCCATTGCGTTGTGGATTAGACCTTTAGGTCAAAGGCTTGGGGTGTGACTCCCTAAGAGAACCACCTGCTTCGGTCTGGGCACCTGGGAGGTATCACAGCCCTCATACAAATCAATAATTACTACTGGCCTCATTCTTTTTGTCTGGTGAATATGTATTAAGTCCCCCCCCCAACCACAGTTTGATGTTCATTGCAAAACAATATTTGCTTGTTGACTCATTTTTCCTATTCTCTGGCTACTGTTCGTTATGTTATTTGTCTGTTTTTTCCCTGTATTAATAGACCGTACAGTTTGTTTGTACACTAACGATGTTAATTTGTGTTTTAGAAACAGATAAAGTTTATCTAGCCAAATAGCTTGCTTGTTCTGACTTTGGCCAAATCAAGACTCTGTATTCGACGGTCTAGAGAATAGCTCAGAATTAAACCTGTAGGAAATTGCTCCCTACAGTAGATATGATCAGACTTTTCGTTCTATATAAACATAAGTGTTGTTTTCTAAAATTTTTACAGTTTCCAAAATATTTTACTATTTTTTGGAACATAGATATCTCATTGAAAAAGCCAAAGCCGAAAGAGATTGGGAAGAAGCTGTGCCTTATGAAAAAAAGAAAAGGGGAAAAGCCTATACACCAAAACAAACTATTTCACCGAGCACGCAAAACGAATTAATTGAAATGGGTTTTGATGTAGAGTTTGATGATGATGTAAATAAGGTATGTACGCTGGTTACTTCGTGTTTTTAATTTAAAACACTATTTACAGTAATAATTTCAGTAAAATAGACATTCAATAAATAAACCTCACATACTTTTTTAGTAAAAAATATTAAGTGCTCAAGGTTTGTTCAGTCGATTGGGGAGGTATTAAACTTGAGTGGGATTGGCTACCGCTTAAGCGGATTTGTTTATAACTCAGTACTTCTCTAAATAACTGACTGATAATACCCGTGTCCGCATCACAATGCTTTCCTGCTGGTAACATAGGCATATAATTTCATGTAACACATTCAGGGTTGTGTGAAGCATTAGTGCAACGCAGCGGATCTCCATTTCAGAAATGGTGTTAGATTTTCCACATCTATTTCTGTTGGTTTTTGACGTACAAAATTATGTATATTCGTTTTAGTCTGTTGTGTTGCGAAAACCTACACTAAAACTCAATAGTAATGTCTATAGTATTGGTACGTAGGTAATCCTGTCAATTCTGTCGTTCTGTGTCCGGTTTGTTTTTTGTGAGACGTTATTTTGTAATTTTTGGAATTATATTTGTTCAGAAATTAAGATGGAAAACTGTGATGATTTCTTGAGCTGATAATTTTACATGCTCAAAGTATTAGCACTTTTTCGGGTAAAACTTTTATATTAGATTACGGCTATATATTATCTGTGATGAGCACCGGTTGACAAGTTCTGCTGACCACCCTACAAAATCTAACATTGTGTTTCGTAAACACGGAGTCATTCCTCGTACTCCGTTCAAATTTCAGAGCTTTGTTTGCCTTTTAAGAAGCTAGTTTTCTGGCAGGAAACAAAAGTTATCTAACAGTTAATTTAGACTTTCACGATCGGTAACTTTTAACTAACAATATTTTAAATTATCTGGTGAATAACCACTTTGTTTCATATTTATAAGCTTTATTTTTATCTACACACCATTCGCTCTGCAACTGTTGATCATAATTCCTTTCTTGTCTACATAAAATTAAAAAAAGAATAACCGATGGGGTTTGTACAGTTTCCTCTGACGACCACTTATTTTTAATACCATTTTTTATCGTATTGATAAAGAAAATTTTAGCCGTATTGTGTCATGTAACATAACCTTTGTGAATTTATATATATTTTTGTTAAGGCTCTTGAAAATGCTACTGAAGATGAACTTGTTGATTTGGCTGCTGTCCTGGGTTTTACTGGGATGTTGAATCAAGTACAGTTCCACGCTAGTTTAGAAGGACGTAAATTGGAAATGGGTGGATTCTCTGGTGTGGCTAAAGCTGAACGTCCTAAAGTCGTGCCAGATGAGCCACCTAATATGACAGATGTAGAGGTTTGTCTCGTTTCTTCCTCTACTTGGTTAATCCTTTTTTCTTTGTAGCTTAACATCATTTGAAAATTGAGGGACACTAAACACTTTTTCCTTCACTAAAGACTACTTACCATCGTTCTCTGTTCTGACCACGTTTTGTAATTTAGCCTTTCCTAGTGAACCCTTCAGTTTTGTATGATGTTGGTTCAGTCACAAATGATTGACATTTTCTACCTTCAGATTGCTACTTATAAGTGTATGCTCAGGATGTCTAGTAATATCAAAGGCGGTGGGTTAGTGTCCAGTTACACATCCAAGCCTTTTTTTACAATAAATTTGTTGATTAACAAGGGAAGTGAATAGACCGTTTTTCAGTTCAACTCAATCTTTTGATCTCTATTTTTTGATCCTCTATTTAGTGGTCAGTAACCAGGACTTCATTTACTTTTATAACTTGCTCGTGTATCTACATTTTCAATACTTTAGAATTTAAACTAGTAGATACCAAAACATTTTCTATGGTGTTTTTCAATCAAATAGGTCCGATCTTGTAACCTACGGTGTATAATTGTTTATTTCTATTCTATGGTTCAATTTTACTCTCACCTAAAAATAAACTATTGTTTCAAAAAGACTACTTTATTCCTCCAAAATTTCACATGTCTTCATACTTGGATTCATCATTTATTACTTGCTCACTTTAAACTGCTTGTATTTTTCTTTCTATCTTTTATACGTTTCAGGATAGTATAAAGAAATTGGAAAATAACAGCGAAGAACTAACTAAATTAAATTTAAACAATATCAAAACAATAAGTGCTGAAGCAGTACAGCGCTTATGTGCCGCTCTTACAAAGAATAACCAGTTAACTGAACTGCATATGGCAGCAACACGTTTAACAAACGCAATGGTTGAACCGTTCTTTGATATGTTGCAAAAAAATACTGTATTAAAAGTATTAAATTTGGAGTCGAACTTTTTGACTGGTTAGTCGGAAACATTATTTACTGTGAACAAATATTAAAATTACAAGCGGAATTTGACATGCCTCAATTCATAAGAATAAATTCAGTCATTAGTAGACGTAAACATATTGCCATAACGTATCAAGAACTATAGGAGTGTAATATGTGCTAAAATACCGCAATGAAATAGCAGATTCGAAGCATCTTACATTCGATGAGGTTGGTATACATACATATTTTTGTATTGTGTTCTATGAGCTGAATAGTTCAGTTACGAAGCTTCCGTTGATGTTGTGCTATTCATCGTTTAACGATCCAGCTTTTCCTAGGTCTGAGTGAGTCATTACTCTGTTCCGTGTTACTGGAATAATGATAAGGATTTTTCGAGGTTATATATATCCATTCGTTACTTTTTACAGTGTGTTATTAAAAATTTTTTTCCGTAAAAGTGAGGTATTATGCATATATGTATTTATGTGCCTGGTCCTACGTTGCAGCTGACTGAGGTATTATGTCAACTTTAATTGAACCTTATTTTGATTCTATAAAGTCTACTTTCTTATATATTTGTAAACATTTACATGTGACTTCCCTGTACATATACCTATGTAATACATATAAACGTACACATACAAGCACATGCTTGTTGTCTTATCATACAGTTCTTGTTTATGCAAGTGTCAATCGATATCAAAAATGTGTAACTTCCACTAGATTTTTGATTCCAGATGTGTTTATATGTATATTGTACAGTATCCTATTAGGAACGATAAGCTTTTTCATATTGTTTTTCTCTGAGTGATAGTTTTCTCTCGGCCGCAGGTTTACGTTTGGTGTCACAAATGTTGCTTCCTTTAGGACAGGATTCTAGACTTCAAAATACAGTTATTAGTGAACATAAACCAATTAGTTTTATGGCTCAACTATCCAGAATTGGTTTGTTCTTTTCAAACTTCACTCGATTTGCGGGTGTTTTCAGTGTCATAATGTATATCCTGCCACTAATGTGCATTGACTCTAATTACCGTGCCACAATGCGAAAGACTGGATGTTGAGAATATGGTTTGAAAATGCAGAATAATAAAGTATATGTAGTAGAGTTCTTTAACTTACGATCTAGAGTAAGATAAAGAGTGAATGCATGTTTATTTATTTATTTAAACACATAAATATTGGTAAAAGGAGGTACCAAACAGATATGCACCACATCAATCATTCGGTTTGTGTGAGGGTTGGGATACTGCCTGGGTGTCCAAACCGAAGCAGTTGTGCGGAACCCAAGCAGTTAGTCCGTACCTACTAACGTAGCCAAGTCCTACAGTTGATGACGTGATGCACTGGTGCTACTTTTTTTATCTGATCAGACTTGTATCTATACCAGTGAGAACATGTCGTGAAGATAGGTGGTGGTTGGACATACTTGACATATGTCCTAACCACCTCATTCCATGAAGATTCACAATTTTATCAACCAATTTGTCATCTTTACCTAGAATCCTATGCCTAACCCCAACAAAAATGTTCTAACAATCTGGTTGTCTTAAGCCAATCAACAACATGTTTCTCAGTAAGGTGACTTTTCGCTCATTGTTGTCATATCTTTTGTGTGGTGCGTTTTACTGATGACAAAAGCAAGAGCAGATAGTATATATGCGTATTCAAGTTTATTTTATCCGACATATTCCCGCGACCAAGGTAGAAAGAACTGGACTCGAGGAGTTTGTTTGGCTATAGATTACCTAATGTTCATATAGAGTCAGTGGGTAGTTCAATATGAATGAAATGTAGTCAGTGAACAAAACGAACGATGATAATGTACTTAGGTAGTTTCCTTTTAAAAACAACTACTGTTTTACTTTTAATTCACCAAACTACTTATCTATCATGCTTTTTTATATTTCAGGTGTTATCCTCGTTCGTTTATTGGAGTCAATTAGCCATGAAAAAAGTGGAATAACCGATTTGCATTTAGCTAATCAACGTCAATCTGTGCTCGGTGTAAAAATTGAACAAAATTTGACCGAATTAATACTAGCCAATCCACGTTTAGTTCGTTTGGGCTTAGATTTAGAGACTAGCGATGCACGTGTACGTACCAGGGAACATGTCAAATTTAATTTAGATCGTGTTTCTCGGCAACTACGGCGTAATAAAAATTAAATTTTTACGTAAATATGTAAGTACGTTTGAACATTGTACTGATTTTCACTTTAATTTGCCTTTAATTTACCTACTTATTTTTCCCATCTATTTTGCTTCTGTAAGCTACAGAATTAGCCTAGTATTATTAAGTTGGTTTACATGTGCACATTTATTTATGTATATCCTGTTATTATTTTCAGTTTGGTCTGTTTATGTTAGTCGATTTCACTGTTGTAATGTATCTGTTAACATAATTTCAACATGTATATCTGGCTTTGTTTGGTCATCGTTACTAATATATACTCATGATGAACACATCGCCACATTATGAGTCCAAAATAATAAAAATCATCTCAATTCTTATAATTGTTTCCTGCATATTCATAATCGAAAAATAGCCATTTCAAGGTAGTCAAGAGTTACACTTCCATTTGATTTTGCTTCTAATGTGTTTGTATCGTGAGTTGAAATTTCGAATGATACGATTGTCGTTGCTTAACATCTTCCTATATTTTATTTAATGTCTTCCATTTGGTTACATGCATTCTGTATTTAAATACAAGTAAATTAGTCAAATTTAATATGCAATTAATCAATTTTGTTTGTATTCACTTTTATTTGTAATCGTATTGGATAGTTGGATATCCGGTGACAACTGCTAAAAAGCACAAAATAACTGTTGGCTATTTCTCCAACTTCTCGGGGCTGTATACCTTTTTATCTAAGTTGTTTTAGTGTCATGTTGCGACTGACAAAGCCGTTCTGTTTTAAGTTTCAACGTTAGATGGACTCTGGGTTATATGAGATCGAATCCGACAGGGTGCATCAGTTCCCTCAAAATTACAGGTACATCTTGCTGATGGGTACCAAATAGCATTAAACCTTGGTTCGGGGTATATTTGCTAGATAAGGTAGTGTAGAACCTTTATATATTTGCTTTCGTGCATGGATTATAATGTATTGACATCATGTTGTACCAGTATACAATGAGAAAGATATGGATGGTTAGTATCTGGTAAGATAACACCTGCCAGGAGTTTGCAAGATTTTAGTTGTCTATCCGCAACCATAAGTTGTACAATCGTATATATATGAAATTTTTTTTGTTTTTTGTAAAAGTACTAATTCCGTGAGGAAATGTGAACATAGTTAATAAAAAAATGGGTTATAATACTAGATTACGTAATATGAATAATAACAATAACAATAGATTTAGTGAATATAATAAGATGATTAAAATGATTCAAATGTTTTTTTGTTATAATAATTAAAGGTCATAGAGTTGTAAAAATAAATATGGTGATATGATGAGTATTCACGAATAAAACAATGAGAATATAAGACATAAGTAAAGGGGAGAATGCAGTAATAATAATAATAATAATAATAATAATAATAATAATAATAATAATTGGGTAAGCAAAATGCTTAAAGCCAAGGTAACGATAACGATAAGACGTACTTCTTTTGTACGCATAGTTCTGGTTTAAGCTCCTGGATGGTAAGAGCTTCGGCTATTTTTAAAAGTTGGATGCGAAGAAATCTGGGTAGATTTGAACGAATCATACAAACAACCTTAAATTCATTTTTTGGATCTGTGGAATGGTTACAGTCGATTAGGTGTTCAAGTATAGAACTCCTAACTGCTTTCCTTTCACCCTTATAGAACCAAGCTAGGATATGTTCCCCTATCCGAGTTGGAAGCGAGCGCTGGCTACGGCCAATGTACCTTGCTCCACAAGAGCAGGTGAACTGGTAGATGCACATGGAGGCGACCAGACGCGGAAGCCTATCTTTTATGGATACAGAAAATAAGTTCTTACTAGTGAAGGTTATTCGCAGTTTAGCCGCGTTAAGTGTTCTAATAGTTGTTGTTAGACGGTTTTTGATTACGTCCGATGTTCGGTCACCTTTAAATTCCAGACTTATATAAAGGTTTTTCTTTGGAACGGAACAACTAGAATTCTTCTCGCGACTACTTTTATTCATATTCTTTTCTATGAACCGTTCTGGGTAACCATTTTCCGTCAAAGTCTTCTTGAGGAATGCGAGTTCTTCGTTAATGCATTCCGTACTGCATATGTGATGTATGCGATGGCATAAAGAATGGATACGGTTTCTCTTTCTACTTAACGGAACCCAGCTATAGAAGTTGGTTAGCTGGCCATTCCATGTTTGTCTTCTAAAGATGGATCTTTTTAAAGAACCATTACTCTTTCTCATCAGACGTACATCGAGAAAAGGAATTGATTGGTCTTGTTCCCTTTCTAAAACTCCGCCTGGAGTCCCTCCGGGGGCTACTGCCGGTCCCAAGCCCGGATAAAGGAGGAGGGTTGGGCATGGGGTTAGCGTCCCCATCCCGTAGAAAACTAACTCGCTAAAAAAACGCTAACCAGAAAAAATTATTCAAACCTTTTAAACTCTGCCCTGGGAGTCAGAAGATCTTCATTTAGAAGAATTATGACGCCTCATGATGAAAGCCGAATCCCTTCGGAAGCCACGAGGCCGATGCCCCTTCTGACAACCAGAGAAACCATTTATTTAGGTACATGGAATGTTCGTACAATGTGGGACACCGGAAGAGCCTTCCAGATTGCTGCAGAAATGAGAAGATACAACCTAGAGGTACTTGGGATCAGTGAAACACATTGGACACGAGTTGGACAACAACGAATAACTACAGGAGAGCTCCTGTTATACTCCGGCCATGAAGAAGAAAATGCACCACATACACAAGGAGTTGCATTGATGCTGTTCAAACAAGCACAAAATGCACTTATAGGATGGGAATCTCATGGACCAAGGATCATCAAAGCCTCGTTCAAAACAAAGAAAGAGGGCATTTCAATGAACATCATCCAATGCTATGCACCTACCAACGACTACAATGAAGACGCGAAAGATCAATTCTACAATAGGCTGCAGTCAATAGTCGAGAAGTGCCCAACAAAGGACCTGACCATTCTGATGGGAGATTTCAACGCCAAGGTTGGAACGAACAACACTGGATATGAAGACATCATGGGACGACACGGACTGGGAGAACGAAACGAGAATGGTGAGAGATTTGCAAATCTATGTGCCTTCAATAAGCTGGTCATAGGCGGCACCATATTCCCACATAAACGCATACACAAAACCACATGGACTTCACCGGATCACTATACACAAAACCAAATCGACCATATTTGCATCAACAAAACGTTCAGGAGGACGTGAGAACCAAGAGAGGAGCTGATATAGCATCAGATCATCACTTAATGGTTGCCAAGATGAAGTTGAAACTGAAGAAACACTGGACAACGGGGCGGACAATATCACAAAAGTTCAATACGGCCTTTCTTCAGGATACTGACAAACTCAACAAATTCAAGATAGACCTCAGCAACAAGTTCCAGGCCTTTCATGATCTACTCAATGGAGAAGGAACTACTGTGGAGAGCAACTGGAAAGGGATAAAAGAGGCAATCACTTCAACATGTCATGAGGTCCTGGGCCACAAGAAGCACCATTACAAGGAATGGATCACTGTTGATACACTGGATAAGATTCAAGAAAGAAGGAACAAGAAGGCAGCAATCAATACCAGTCGAACAAGAGCAGAAAAAGCCAAGGCACAAGCTGAATACACGGAAATAAACAAACAAGTGAAGAGGAGTATCAGAACCGACAAACGTAACTATGTGGAAGATTTAGCAACGACGGCGGAAAAGGCTGCAAGAGAAGGAAACATGAGAGAACTGTATGACACGACAAAGAAACTCTCTGGAAATCGCCGCAAACCAGAAAGACCCGTGAAAAGCAAGGAAGGCGAGGTAATCACCAACATTAAAGAGCAACAAAACAGGTGGGTAGAACACTTCAAAGAACTGTTGAATCGACCAGCTCCACTGAACCCACCCAACATCGAAGCAGCACCCACGGACCTCCCAATCAATGTTGGCCCACCAACAATTGAAGAAATCAGCATGGCCATCAGACAAATCAAGAGTGGCAAAGCAGCAGGACCGGACAACATCCCAGCGGAGGCACTAAAAGCAGACGTAGCGGCAACTGCACGGATACTCCACATTCTCTTCAATAAGATTTGGGATGGGGAACAAGTACCAACAGACTGGAAAGAAGGACTACTGATCAAAATACCGAAGAAAGGCGATCTCAGCAAGTGTGATAACTACAGGGGCATCACTCTTCTCTCAATACCGGGCAAAGTCTTCAACAGAGTATTGTTAAACAGGATGAAGGACTGCGTAGACGCTCAACTTCGTGACCAACAGGCAGGATTCCGTAAGGATAGATCGTGTACAGACCAAATCGCAACTCTACGGATCATTGTGGAACAATCAATTGAATGGAATTCATCACTCTACATCAACTTCATTGACTACGAAAAGGCATTTGATAGCGTGGACAGAACAACACTATGGAAACTTCTACGACACTACGGCGTGCCTCAGAAGATAGTCAATATCATACAGAACTCATATGATGGATTACACTGCAAAATTGTGCATGGAGGACAGTTGACAAAGTCGTTCGAAGTGAAGACCGGTGTTAGGCAAGGTTGCTTACTCCCATCCTTTCTCTTTCTCCTGGTGATCGACTGGATCATGAAGACGTCAACGTCTGAAGGGAAGCGCGGGATACAATGGACATCTAAGATGCAGTTGGATGATCTAGACTTCGCAGACGATCTGGCCCTTCTATCCCAAACGCAACAACAGATGCAGGAGAAGACGAATAGTGTGGCAGCAGCCTCAGCAGCAATAGGTCTCAATATACACAAAGGGAAAAGCAGGATTCTCCGATACAACACAGAATGCACCAATCCAATCACAATTGACGGAGAAGATTTGGAAGATGTAAAAACCTTTACGTATTTGGGCAGCATCATTGATGAACAGGGTGGATCTGATGCAGATGTGAGGGCGCGGATCGGCAAAGCAAGAGCAGCATATTTACAACTGAGGAACATCTGGAACTCAAAGCAACTGTCAACCAACACCAAGGTCAGGATTTTCAATACAAATGTCAAGACAGTTCTACTGTATGGGGCAGAAACCTGGAGAACTACAAAAGCCATCATCCAGAAAATACAGGTGTTTATCAACAATTGTCTACGCAAAATACTTCAGATCCATTGGCCGGACACTATTAGCAACAACGTACTGTGGGAGAGAACAAACCAGATCCCAGTGGAGGAAGAAATCAGGAAGAAGCGCTGGAAGTGGATAGGACACACATTGAGGAAAGCACCCAACTGCGTCACAAGACAAGCCCTCACATGGAATCCTGAAGGTCAAAGGAAAAGAGGAAGACCAAAGAACACATTACGCCGAGAAATGGAGATAGACATGAGAAAAATGAACAAGAATTGGATGGAACTAGAAAAGAAGGCCCAGGACAGAGTGGGTTGGAGAATGCTGGTCAGCGGCCTAGGCTCCTTTGGGAGTAACAGGCGTAAGTAAGTAAGTAAAGTAAGTTCCCTTTCTAACGTGAAGTCTATGGAAGGGTGGCACGAGTTAAAGGCGTGTAGAATATCATCTAAATCAATATTATTGTCACAAACAACAAACGTGTCGTCCATGTATCTCACGTATAGGTGGAATCGATTGGTCATTGAACGGAGTTGGTCGTTTTCTACTTTTGCCATGAAACAGTCTGCTAAAATTGGACCCAATGGAGACCCCATTGCGATCCCATCCCTTTGTTTATATATTTCATTATTGAAACTGAACTGGACATTAAAAGTACAGCGTAACAATAATTCTTTCAAGTGTTCAGTTGGCAAACCTAGATCTATATTGTTAGAATCAATATACTCACATGTATAACATATTGTTTCGGTTAAAGGTACGCTAGTGAACAAAGAATTAACGTCAAGCGAGAACA